GCTTCATCACGTACTCGGTCAGCACGCTCACCACCTCCGCGTAGTCGGGCTGCTCCGAGTCTCCTCTCCATCCCTTCAATCGGCGCCGAGGCTGCCCGGCGACGCCCCCCTCCGCTCCGCCCCCCTCTGCCATGTTGTTCGGAATGAGATCCGAGATCTCATGAGGAGTTGCTCCCTTTATGGGCGGGAGTCTTCGGTGTAGGGTTCTGCGGACGCTTCACCGAGGACACGTCGGCCAGTACGTACCGCACGCCCTGGTGCTGGATGCGCACGACGTGTCGTTCGGTCTTGCCGAAAGGGCCCAGCTGCGGGGGCTCGATGAAGAGGGAGTCCATGCGGTGCTCGGAGAGGGGTGGGAGCGCTTCCTTATACGAAGACGTCGTTGGAGGCCCTCGGGAGGTGCGACGACAGCGGCATCCCGGCGAGGGGGTACACCTCGTCCGCCGAGGTGTAGCAGGTGGAGTACGCCTGCCGGATGCGTTCGTCGAAGTACCTCTCGCATGCCTCCTTGTACGCGACGAGCTCCCGTTCGGCCGCGAGGTCGTTCCGGAGGGAGAAGCCGGCGCGGTGCAGGTACTGCATGCACTTCGCGGCGGAGCGCATCATCCCCGCGTAGCAGCGTAGCCTGGCCCCTATGGACGCACCGTGCCTCGAACGCTCCGCATCCAGGGAGTCGAACTGCCGTGCCGTATCTCGGAACCCTTCCATGCTGCCGGGATCCTTCAGCCTCGCGCTGGCCCGGAGGATCGTGTCCGCCGGCGAGGGCCCTCTCTGGATCGGCGCCTCGCACGAGAGGTCCGGCGGCGGTCCAGGGCGTACCGTCCCCGCGCTCCGTACGTAGAACCAGCCGAGTATGGCGCACGCTGCGGCCAGCAACGCGCCCGCCCGTGCCGAAGACATGTCGGTCATTGTTCTCAGCACGGAAAAATTGTGACTACACCACGACATAGGCATCGGTCGGGCCGTCGAACTGGTCCGGCCCGAGGATGTCGCGGAGCGACCTCATGGATCCGAGCGAGTCTTCCGGGCGTCTGGTCGCCCAGCCCATGAAGCCCACGTAGTCGGTGTCCGCGGTGCCCGACGACGACGCGGCGTACGGGTCCGCGCTCAGAGAGGTCCGGCCGTCCGCCTTCCGTCTGATCACGAGCAGGGGGAGGCAGTTGCCCTCGATGCAGCCGCTGAGGGCGTGCCAGTCGCAGTCCCGGAGGGCCATGTCCTGGGGCGCGTGCGCCCGGCAGGGGACCAGGCTCACGTCGCCGGCCGACGCGCCCAGGCTGCCCCTCCCCACGTGCCCCTGCGCTCTGGGGGCGGCGTCCGCGATGCTCTGGACGCTGCCGATCCGCACGTAGAACCGGAACCAGTAGTTCCCGCCCTCGGCCGGCAGCACGTGCCCTTCGTCGAGGCACCTGTCCCAGTGGATCGACTCCAGGATGAAGGTGCGCACGTCCAGCGGATCGACGACCCTCCCGTACTTGAATCCTCCGCACCAGCCCGCGGCGGGCGGGGGGGCGAAGTAGATGCCGACCGCCTGGCTGTCCGGGCTGCGATCGCGCGCGAAGGCGACCCAGCCCCCGCTCTCGGAGAACGGCTTCGGCTCGTACTCGAAGCCCCCCGTGTGGTCCGTCCAGGACCAGGACCCGTCCGCGTTCCCCTCCGCGGTGTGCGGGAGCACGCCCGCATCGAAGCCGCACCACGGCAGGTCCATGAAGTCCACGTACTGCCGCCCGAAGTTGACCCAGGCGTACGTCAGCTCGTACGCGAAACCCACGTCCCGGACGGTCGTCTGCGTAAGGAGCCCGGACGTCTGCCCCTGCTCGTGCCGCTCCTGCTGGCTCCAGCTGAGGGTGCGTACGCCGTTCTCTGCCCCTTCCGCCGCCAGCTGCGGGGCGAAGGAGGGGTTGCGTCCGTCGTACCCCGCGCCCCCCGCCTGATGGACGATGTCGACGTCTCCTCCCTTGCTCTCTTTCAGTCCCGCCCAGCTGGCTATGGACTGCAGGACGCGGTCCGTGTAGCGGGCCTCGGGCCACATCCACTGCTGAGCGAGCGCCTCGACGCCGTCATCCATGCGCATGCCGTACACCGCGCCGCTCTTCGCGATCTTGATTGTGCTGCGGCCGTCGCCGAGGTGGGCGATGGTCCTGTAGAAAACCTCCGCGTCGTCGAGCCCGTGGTCGGACGGCGGACTCACGTCGTAGTCCAGCACGCGGGTCTCGCTTCCCGGCTCGACGGGCGCCTGCCCGGGCACTTCCAGCCAGAAGTCGTCCGTCGAGGGACGTTGCGGGGTCGCGCTCGCGTCGGAGCATGCGTCCGACCCTAGGTCATCTGGGCACGTCGCCATGCAGCACACGTACGAGGATCCATCGGGCACGTAGCATGTGGTGTATCCGGCACGGTGATCGCATGATGAGTCCGCGGCGGCGGCTATGCCGGCAAATATGAGGAGGAGGGCGACGAATGCGGCGGACATGTGTCCTGGTGCTCATGAGTTACGCGTACATAAATCGTTCAGGTCCGACACCTAGGACACGTGACGAAGAAGCTGTCCCTATCGTCCTGGGTGACTATCAGGTGGTCTTCTACGGGGCAACGATGGCAGATGACGACCGTGGGGCACCGGAGGTGGATGGCGGTCAGGGCGCCGAGTGTGTCCGACTCCGGGAGGCCGCCGATGTGGGCCGTGACTCGTTCGAAGACGAACGCCTCGTCTTGCAGGATGCGGCAGGAGTCGAAGAAGGCCGCTCTGCTCGTGAAGAACGGCTCGCCGAGGACCAATCTCGTGGTCGGCCCCGCCAGTTCGAACAGGATGGCGTCCCAGGCGATGGGCGACGCCTGCCCCTTGACGAGCGCTTCTTTGACGTGCAGGTGGCGCAGGTACATGTCGGCGAGCCGGGCGCTCGACTCGATGACGAGATTCGCCACGGACAACTCCCTTCCCCACACCTTCGCGTCCGACCACAGCCGCAGCGTGTCCAGAGATCCGTCGCTCTCGACGTACATCACGGCCCCCTCCACGAGGACGTCGAGGTCGGCGAGCCGCGGTGCGTTCAGGAAGACCATCGGCACGGACCCGTCCCGTGCGTGCTCGCTCGAAACGCAAGCCTTCCGCAGGCTCCGGGACCTGAGGGCGACGCTCGCCACGTCAGAGAGGGAGACGGTGCAGCGCTCCACGGAGGGGAAGGCCGCGAGGCAGTCGACGACGCAGGGGGGACCTTCGTTCGGGAGCGTGAAGTTCAGCCGGCGGACCGCGGTGAGCTCGTCGGCGGGGACCGGGGGCGCCTCGCACGCGGTGATATCGAAGGTGGTGCAGCTGAGCACGAGGAATTCCAGGTCCGGTGCCGCCGTGAGGGATCGGGAGATTGCGTACAACGTCGAGTACGAGCAGGCGCCGAACTGAAGCGTGAGCCGCTTCAGGCCGCCCAGGCTGCCCTCCATCGTGCGGATGGCGTTCGAGACGGCGGCGGTCTCCAGGCGGCTGCCGTTGACCCGCAGGCGCGTGACCCCTTCTCCGGAGCGGCACACGAACGCGACGAGCGAGTCCAGCGCCGCTTCGGAGTCTAGGGCGTGGCCCGGCATGATCTTTCGGATGTCGTCGCCGACGAGCCCCTTCCATTGCTTGGACAGCCGTAGCGTCTTCACCGCGTCTTCGAAGCGGCACCGTTCGACGATGCTCTTGCACAGGTCCACACCCGGTAGCTCGAGTGGGTCCATCTCCGTTCGCGGTTTCTGATACTGAGCAGGTCCGACATCGTGGGGTGTGGTATATAATGGCGGGACCCTACGGCGTATGGTCTGCCGGTACGTTCGTATCGGGCACGCGCACGAGGACGGTATCGGCGACCCACGTCGGGGTCACGACGTCCGCGTCCATCCATAGGTCGTGAAGGGTCATGCTGAGGGCCGCTCGTTGGCCCGGGGCGAGTGAAGACGTCGGGACCTCTTGCAACGAGGCCGCGTCCCACGCCCTGACGGCCAGGCGGCCTCCCCTGACGGGGAACTTCACGCGGAGGAGACCGAGGGTCGGGTCGTAAGGCATGCGGATGGGCGGATCGGCGCCGAGGAACGATCGGATCTGATTCCCGATCGAAGCGAGATACGTGTGAAAGGAAGCGTCGCGATCGACCCGCAGAGTCACGTAGCACTTATGATCGTCTCGCTTCACGTCTACTACCTCGCAGAACGGGGTACACGCCGTCTCCCGTTCGTTCACGTCTGACGCACTCCGGACCATCGTCTTCCTACCGGACTCGCTCGTCTTGAAGTTCAGCCTACGCCCACTGTTGGTCATCTTCCATATCTTCGAGCCAGAGATAGTGGCGTCGCCTCCCCGCGAACGCAGCGGCGGCTCTCTCCTTGCAGTCCTGCATGACGGCGGCGTAGCGCTCCGGGTCCTGCGCCCATGCCCAGGCCGTCGCGGGCCAGGTACAGCTCCGGGTAGGTGCGCCCCCTGCAGTGCAGCATGTGCACCCTCAGGACGCCCGCCCGCCGGAGGATGCGCGGGCTGGCCACGTTCAGCACGCGGGCCATGACGTGCTGGTAGACGGAGGTGGAGACCTCGGAAAGGAAGATGACGTCCGTGGCCGCCGGCAGGTGGCAGCCGCGCCCCTCCCACGCTGCCGTCAGGAAGATGGCCTTCTTCTGGACCGCATCGATGGCGTCTCGGTCCTGGTTGAACTGGCGCAGCGTGTTGCCGATCTGGTACTTGCTGCCGTTGAGGGGCTTGCAGGACGAGAATCCGTGCCTCTCCACGAAGTCTCCGAGGTGGCGTATGTTCAGGTGGTACGAGTGCGCGTAGGACCACAGGACCAACCTGGACCCGGCGGCCATGGCGTTCAGCACGGCGGAGAGGGTGCTCCTGATGGGCGTGTTCCAGTACTCCGAACGGTCCAGGGTGAGGTTCCGGGGGATCGAGACGGAGCGGTCCGTCACCATCTTCATCCCGGGGTTCATCATGTCGGCCCTGCAGATGGGGCAGCTCGGGGTCGCGGACGTCAGGATCCTGGCGGTGCACTCGACGCACAGCAGCTGGGAGCAGCACGGCGTGACGCACGCCTCTTTCGCCAGGTCCCCCCAGCACACGGAGCAGGTGTCCTCCCTCCATCCGGCTACCCGCGCCTGGGCGTCCTTCGTGAGCCCTATGGAGGCGGCATCCGGATATGGCCGGGCGCCGATCTGCATGAGCCGAATAGTGTGCTCGTGCTCGCTTGGGGGGGTGAACTCCAGGGGGCGGAGTTCCGCGTAGACGTCCCATGACCGGCCGTGACGCCGTTGCGGGCCGTGGACGGTCAGCGAGCACTCGTAGTGGATGTGCAGGGGGAACTCGATCTCGCACTCCCCGACGACGGTCGCCATCGGGTGCCTGACCAACACCCGCGACAGGTCTTCCAGGCCGGCGTTCTGGAGGACCGAGCAGACGCGGGCGTATGATTTGGGGTCGGCCCTCTGGTCGGGAGCGAGGGCGCTCGGCATGACGTACTGCTCGACTGTGCTCTCCACCAGCCACGTGAAACACGCCCTCAGCCGCGGCAAGTGCTTGCCCGTCACCGTGCCCGCGTCGTCGATGACCAGTCTCGAGAAGCGGACCCCGCCGAAGTGGTCGTAGAAGGCTCCGTACAACGACGCGGAGACGATGATCACCCACCCCTCTCTGGAGTCCAGGCTCCTCAGCCCCCGGTGCGCCAGCTTCGTCAGATCCCTGAGCCGGGACACGAGCAGGGGACGGAGAGAGGGCGCCGTCTCCCCCATCTTGCGGGCCCATTGGTTCGTGCCGACTCCCGAGCAGACTATCACCGTCACTCCACAGAAGTCCGGGGCCGCATTCTTCTCTACGGGAGGCACTACCATGCCGTAGCAGTAGTCTCCGAAGGCCAAGGACCTCCTCTCTGTGTTCGCCTTCTCGTCTTCCAGCCAGGCGTAGTAGGTGTTCTCGGGGCTGGGGGGCCGGTCCTTGGAGCTCATCAGGTGCGCGATGACCGTCAGCATGGAGCCGCTCCCCGGGGGTTCGGCCAGGATCCCGATGTTGTGGTACAGCGTCTCTCCGGAAGCGAGACGCGTCGGGGTGTGCGTGTTCCTCTCCATGCTCCTCATCGCCGAGACGGCCTCCACCTGATACCCCTTCAGCACGGTGCCGTCCTTCATGACGGGGTGGATCGCGCGACAGCTGATCGTGGCCCGTCGGTTGACGGAGCCTTCCGAGAACGAGCCGTGCGCCATCAGTCGCGAGGCGGTCACGATCTGGTCCACCGCCTTGCGCGACGACATGGGGTGTCGATCCAAGAGACGCTCCACCTCGTCCGACTCGTCCATCCCCGCTTTCGATATCAGCCCCACGTCCCACCTCACCCCCTTCCTTATGCCTACTTCCGGACGGAGACCTCGGAGCGCCGTCTGAGGAGCATCTTGCCGTTCAGCATCGTGAGCACGTACGGGTCCTCGAGCTCGCAGAACCCGTACACCTTCTTGTCGTGGGGCACGTCGTTGTCGAGTAGCGTCGAGCTCCCACTGATCTCTACGGCGGTGTTGTAGTGGATCGCCTTGCAGAGGAGGAACTCGATGTTCGCCCTCTCCTTGGCCGTGGGGGGATCGAGGCCGTAGACCTTGATGCGCCCCACGCGTTCCGCGATCGCGAAGGCTATCGCGTACGCCGCGGAGCTGTTGAAGTAGGCGACGTTGAGGAACTCCATCACCTTCTCGATGGGGTAGGCGATCACGTTAGGGAAGCGGTCGTCCCGCCCGCTGGAGTAGACGATCTTGCACGTCGAGATCCACCCGTTCTCCCCTTCTCCCAGCTTAGTCACGGGACTCATGTGAAAGGTCCTGTCGTTGTTGAGCAAGGCCCCCAGGGAGTCGAGGCACCACGTCTCGTCCGCCAGCGCGCGGGAGCCGCCTTCCCTGGCGGCCTCGGAGAAGAGGTCCTTGATGGACACGCCCGGCCCGCATATCGCCACCGTCTTGCCGGCCAGCCCGGGCTCCACCAGGGAGGGAGATTCCGCGGGCTCCACCAGGGAGGGCGGTTCCGCTGCATCCTCGATCGAGGCGACCAGCTCCCCGGCCGTGCCCGGCTCCTCGCCCTCTAGGAGGAGCTCGTACTGGCCGTCTAGGGCGGCCTCCAGGAACGTCTCGGACGGCGGCGTCCCCTTGGCCTGCTTGCTCTTTTTTCCCTTGGGCGCCTTGACTCTCTGCTGGGTCTCTGCCTTGGGCTCCGATGATGCGGTCATCTTCGGTTGACTACCCGGCCGATTTTAAGGGGGGCCTCCGAGACGCGTCCCCGGCCCTCACGCACCCAGCCCCGATTTATTTTGTGAGCGTATGGTACATCCTTACCCATGGCACCGCCCAACTCCGGACAGTGCGGATCCGTCATCTTCAAGCGGGCTACCGTCAACGACATCTATGCCGGAACCGCCAAGGACGGCTCGAACAACTGGGTAGCGGCGGATCTGTTCGTCCGGTCGAACGCGGGGATCACCATCAAGTCCAACGCCGCGGGCACCAACGGGGCGAAAGACAACATCTACCTCGACGGCACGACCTTCACCAAGTCCGGCCTCCTGGGGACCACCACCGACGCCCCCAACCTCACCCTCAGCAGCGCGTCGGGCGACGTCTACGTCAACCCGGCGACGGGTGGTCTCAAGTCGGCTTCCGCCCTGACCCTGTCCACCGACCCGGGCGGCTTCACCCTGAACACGGCCTCGAAGAGCTTCGCGACCGACTCGAGCATCGTCTCCTCCCACGCGACGACCGTGCTGACGAGCGTCGGCGTGACGACCCGGATCCGCTCGGATGACAACCAGAACATCCAGCTGAGCCCCGGCTTGACCGGCAAGGTCATCATCGACTCCGACCTGGACCTGGGCACGGGAGTCGTGACCGCCCCGACGGCGGACCTGGCCCTCTCCTCCACCTCGGGAGACGTGAACGTGACGGCGGGATCCGGGAAGAAGATCAACTTCCTGTCCGACGTGTACTTCGCGACGGGAGGCCTGTCCACCGGCGGCGGCGACGGCGGCCTCACGTTCTCGACCTCTTCCGGTCCCATCAACCTCCAGCCGGCCACCACTTTGAACGTCAACGCGCCCATCATCACCTCCGACGGGCACATCACGGGAGACTCCGTGGACCTGGTCTTGGGCACCAGCACCTCCGGCGACATCCAGCTGGAACCCGCGGCGGGTGGCGTCGTGTCCGCCAACGCGCAGTTCGTCACCAGCCAGGGCACCATCCAGGGCTCTTCGGCTCTCACGCTCACGACCGGCACGGGAGCCCTCGCCTTGGAGCCGGCCTCCGGACAGAACGTCACCACCAACGCCCCCATCGTCACCTCGAACGGCTCCTTGGAGGGCTCCGCCGGCCTGACGCTCACCACCGGCTCGGCGGCCCTCGCGCTGAACCCCGCCAGCGGGCAGAGCCTCACCACGAACGCCAAGTTCGTGACGTCGGACGGCCAGATCGAGAGCTCGGCTGGCTCCGGCCTCACATTCACCACGGACTCCGCCGACCTGACCCTGTCCCCGGCCGACAAGATCATCTTCACCAAGCCCGTGCTCACCACCGACGGGCACTTCTCGAGCGCCTCCAACACCAACTTCACCATCACGCCCGGAGCGGGGGCCTCTGTCGTCATCGAGGGCGACCTGCTCGTGACGGGCACCCTGAGCCACGTCAACACGTCCGAGCTCAACGTGGAGGACAAGCGCATCACTCTGGGAGTGGGGACCAACGACGACACGCTCGTGAACGGCAGCGGGATCCTGCTGGCCGGCGACGATTACGGCACGGATGCGGAGCGCCTGAGCATCCTGTGGAAGGCGGCGGCGGCGGGGAACAACGCCGTCTGGGAGTTCTCCGGAGGAGACCTGAGCATCACCAGGGCGACGACCTCGAACGGCACCATCAAGTATCTGTTCAGCATCGACGACACCACCACGGATCTCAGCATCATCAAGTTCACCGACTCCGGCTCCGGCTTCGGGACCGGGGAGTTCATCGCGGACTTCGCCGCATCATAAGTGCATCGGCTCCGCTGATTTATTTTCTGCCGTGTGGATCATACGTCATGGCCCTCCCTAACAGCGCGGACCCCAGGTCATTCGGCACGGACTGCTTCCTCCCCTCCGGCAGCATCGACAGCATCATCATGAGGCAGAATGGCATCAAGGACGCCACCGAATACCGTATGTTCATCGAGGCGCGGGGCCTGGAACTGACGCGAGCGATGTGGGCGAACGCACAGAAGAACAGGATGCGGCCGCTCGCGTGCGTGGGCAAGTGAGCGCCTGAGCCAAAAATCGTCGAACGGTCCGTGCACGAAGTCACGTGGCTGCAGTTTCTAGCTACTGCAGCCACGGATGGCGAGCATGTGTGGATGTGAACCGAATGTGACCGATCATGCCACGAACGTTATCTTGGCGCACGCCCCGCGTAGGGACGGCGTGGCTGCCGCGAACAGCTTGAATTGTATCTTCGCCTCTACGTCTGCGTTCGTCACCAGGACCCTGTCTATCGACGACTCCTCTTCCCGCCTCTCCAAGAGCGCGTCCATGATGGGCGTAGCCAGGTCGAAGTACGACTGTATGTTCGTCCCGTCCACGACGACCACGACGCGCGACACCTCGCCCGCATCCCTCTTGGCCCGGATCATCGGGGCCAATCTCTCGAGCTCATGCAGCACGTTCTCCACGGTGTCGGATTCGATGTAACGAGGGATGACGTTGATCTGAGCAGTCGCTTCTCCGCATCGAAGCGAACCGTCAGGGTACGAATGCCATGCGAATCCATGCTGATATTCGCGTCGGAAAAATGAGGATGATAGAACGCATGCCGCGGTCGAGATGAAAGATTTTGTGGGAGCAGTGTACGGAGTCCGTATGGAGAAGGGCAACAAGGCCACACAGTCACCCGCCAAGAGTTCCACGCTGGATGCCTCCTACGCTAAGTGGGACGCCTACTTCCGATCGGACTCTAAGGAGTTGGCTAAAGACCTCAACGTGACCCTAGGGAAGCCGCTGACGGAGGACGAGTTCCTCAGGCTGAAGAAGGGTTCTAAGGAGAAGTTCACTGTGCTGGGCCGTTAAGCGGCGGCTTCGTCCGGAACGAGCTCCCCCTCCTCGTACTGCGACTCCTCCGGACTCGAGGCATCGTCCATCGTGTCGTCCCCGTCGACCGACGGCGCGGGGGTCGGGGCTCCGGGAGCCGTCGGGGCGGAAGGTGCGACCGAGTCTTCGCTGAACTCGATGTCGCAACCCCTGATGTGCGTGGAGGGGAAGCGGACCGCCTGCTGCATCTTCAGGGTCATGCCCACGTTGAACCCCGCCAGGTAGACGTTGCCGGGGGTGATGAGGGTGATGACCGAATCCCCCTTGGCGATGTCGCGGGGGTCGATGCGCTCCTTGTTGGTGTTGAACACGTCCGCCGCCAGCTCCCGGGTCTTCGTCCCGTCCTTGTGGGTCACCTCGCGGTCCATGAGCCTGAGGTTGAGGGTGGGCGCGTATTCCACCTTCTTGGAGGGCGTGATGAGCGGCCTGCAGAGCTTCTGGATGAAGTTCCTGTCGTAATCCTGCTGCGGGAACCACTCCTGGCAGCCCTTGTAGAGCATGTCCACCAACCACTCGTTGATCTCCTGGAGCTTGTCGTAGAAGTCCGACACCTCCTTGTTCGTATCCCTGTAGCGGAAGGAGAGGCCCAAGGTCCACTTGGTTCCCACGTCCTTGTTCTTGTCGGTGTACTCCGAGATGCCGAAGGGACACGGCATCTTAGGCGACTTGAAGATGAGGGGACCGCCGGTCCTGCCGTAGGTGACGGTGGCCATGAGACCGCCGGCACGGTTCTTCTTGGGCTGCGAGATGTGGATCTGATTGACGTCGATGTCTTGGAATGCGAGGATGCGCGCCATGTTCGCTGGGGGGAATGTTGCGCAGAGATGGATGCGAGGAACGGAGATGCGGGGGACGGAGCGTCCTGCGGAAACTTGTTTCCTGGGAATGAAGGGCTTCGGGCGGCTACCCCGACTTTTATACCCCTGGAGGTGGAACCCTACATCGTATGCTTCCGCCGAGGCTGCGTTCGTGCGCCGGGAATCTTTATCGCCGCATAGGACACATCCTGGACGAGATATTGCAGGACGGACGCAGGCACCGAGTCTCGGATACAAGATCTTCCGGCACGGCGACGAGCTCGACCCAGCCAAGCTGACGTTCGAGCCGCGGAAGGCTCACAAGGACGCGCTCAAGGTGCGATACGGAGGGGACGCCGTCTACGTCCAGACCAACTCGTGTTGCCTGAAGACGCCGCTCGTGTACGACGGGGAGGTGCAGAAGACCGTGGATCTCGAGATGTTCGAGCAGCGCAGCGACAAGCACAAGGAGGTCGTACGCAAGCTCCGTGCCATCGAGGAAGCCGCCGAAGCGTACCTGAAGACCCTGGACCCGTCCAGCGACGGGAGGCTGCTCAAGAGCGCCATGCGCAACCTCCAGAGGAGCGCCAAGGGATCGCAGCCCACCTTCCGAGCATCCGGAGAGAACCTCACCGTAGAGGACATCCAGTCCGCCGAAGACACGAACTACGTGGAGCCCGGCACGCCCATCATGGCCATGCTCGAGCTGGCGGGGTTGAGACGGAACGCCGAGGGTCGAGGGGTCCTCTCGTGGGCGCTCTACCAGGTCAAGGTGCTCCAGGACCCGGAGAAGGGGGACGAAGCGCATGGGCGCCCCCCCAAGGCGGAGTGGGGCGAGGAAGACGTCAGCTGAGCGCGATGACGGGATTTTTTTTGTGGAGTAACCTATAAGATCGCGCCTCCCGAATGGATCAGACCTTCCTCTTCGTGTTCATGGCCGCGGTGATCGTGTACTTCGTATCCACGATCGCTTTCGCGTCTCCCCAGCGGGACGGTGGCTACGTGGAGGACGCCGAGGCGCTGGAGGGCTTTCAGACGCTGCCCAACTCGACGACGCGGCCCGCCTCAGCGCCCCAGGATTGGAACGCGTTCGCGCCCCAGATCTCTCCCGATCTCGCCGGGGTCAAGCTCCTGGACCCGATCCAATTCATAGGTACCAGCACGTCGGGCGTCAAGAAGAACAACAGCCTCGATATCCGCCAAGCTATCGTCATACCGAAGCAGAGCTTTCCGTGGAACAACTCCAGCCTGCAGCCCACCGACTTCCGGAGGAACCAGTCGATCGACACGATCTGAGACCCGCTCGACTGATCGGAAGTAGCAACCGGGCCGCGATGCCGTTTTTTCTAGGGTGACTCTACACGAGATGGAGGAGCATCACCATCGCGGAGCGTTCGTGCTACTTACGATCATACTCGTATTCCTGGCGTTCTACACGTGCCCCGACGATCGCGTCGAGACCTTCGAAGACGGAACCGACTCGGAACACACCGAGTCTTGCTCCGAGTCGGACGGGAGCACGCTGTAAAAACAGCGACTCACGACATGCTCAGCTGCCTCCAACGACGAACTTTCTCGAAGCATATCTCGAAAACGTCTGGTGCGATGAACGCTGCCCTTTCCTGACTGTTATACTCCCGATACAGGTCGATCCACTCGCCGACGTCGTGGTGAGCTGCTGCAAAATTCTGAACAATGTACTGCGCTGCTCTCGCTTCTCTTTTGGCTTTTTGTTTCCGCCACGTTACCAGGAAGCATTCTTCGATTGCCAAGCATGGGAAGCAGCAAAACAACGTTGTCTCAGCACACCACCTGTCTCTCTTTTCATCAGGGCCATCTGCGTATGCGTGTCTCTGCGGGGTGCTGCGTTCCCAAAGCCATCGGAAGGCACCCATTGCTAGAGGGGTGGGTGTATGTGAAGGTTTCAAGATTAAAGGCGTTGGTTTCTGACGCACCATCTCACGTTCATTAGCCTGCTACGAGAATCCAGTCTGGAAACCATGTCGACCGATCGGAATAGCAGCCGCCCCGCGACGAGTCTACGCATCACGACGCGGAGCGTTCGTGCTATTTACGATCTTACTCATATTCGCTGCGTTCTATACGTGTGGTTGCGGAACCCGGTCGTATGGGACGAGCATATATTCGTCGCATTTATAGTTACAATAGTGCGTGGACGAGATTATGCGTGTGAGCTGGACCAGGTACACGAACGCCACGTTCGAAAAGCCCACGTCGCGCGAGACGGTCGTCGTCTTAGGGCACGGGTTCGGTTGCGATTCGACGTGCTGGCACAACTTAAAACCATTGTTAGCAAAGCGAGGATACGGGGTGCTAACATATGACCTCCCGTACGCCCGGACGTCGGGGTTGGGTGCATTCGACGAGTCCCCAAACCGTCGGAGCGTCCTCCGAGCGGCCTTCGAGCGGTTCAAGGCACCCCCGTCGATTCCGCACCGACCAACGAAGAATAGGGATTTCGATTTCGAGCGATACTCGAACCTGGAGGCATACGCAGACGATCTGATCCATCTTCTAGACGAGCTCGGACTGAGGAACTCCATCTTCCTGGGACACTCCGTCTCCGGGATGATCGGGACCCTGGCCAGCACGAAGAGGCCCGAACTGTTCCGGGCGCTGATCCTGCTGTCGTCTTCGCCTCGCTACATCAACGACGCCGCCTCCGGCTACGCGGGCGGTTTCGAGCGCGAGCAGCTCCGAGAACTCTTTCATAACGTCGAGCACAATTACGAGGGCTGGGTGACCGGGTTCGCACCATTGGCCATCGAAGAGCCCGACGACGTCGCAGTGAGACGCTTCACCAGCGGTCTCCTCGCGGTGCGCCCGGACGTAGCGCTGGCGACGTGCAAGACCATCTTTTTGATGGATCTCCGGCACATCTTGCCGAGAGTCACGGTACCATGCGTCATCCTGCAGAGCCAGTCGGACGTCGCCGTTCCGGCATCGGTCGGGGCCTACATGTCGGCCACCATCGAGAACTCGGTGCACGAGATAATGCCCACCGCGAGACATCTTCCGCACCTCAGTTCGCCGATGTTGGTCAACGCCGTGTTGCTCAAACACATCGACGATACATCGAATGCTTCTGTCCCCGATCTCCATATCACCCCACGGACTCCTCATTCGAAATATCGCATTCCAAGATGTCTCGCATCGATACGTTCTTGCGCCGGTTGGACTCCGTCTTAGAGCTACCCGAGTACGATGGGACGCCCACGTTCATCGAGAACATCCAGGCGCACGCTCAGGAGGATGCCATGCCGGGAGAGGAGGCCTTCCTGCAGCAGATCCTGGATCTGTCCATCCGGACGACCCGGTCGTACGTGGATCGAGCCGCCGACCGCGCGCACGTGCTCCGTTCCGCTTGCTCGCACCTGCACAGCGTCCTCGAGTCCAAGTCCCTCACCCCTTCCGTCGCCAGGCACCTGGACTGCCTGTCCGTCGTCGCCGTGGCCATAGAAAGACGTCAGGAGAAGGACTGGAACGACTCCGAGCAACTGCGGCTCAGCTCGAGTAACACCATCGACGAGCTGAAGAGAGACGGCCTGATCATGGAGGAGATCCTGGGGGACGAGACATACGAGAGGGAGCTGCGCACCCTGCGCGAGTTCTCCGACGACAAGCGCAACTCGCATTCGGTCTGGAAGCTGATGGCACGGGTCGTGCGCGCGTACGTGGCATCCGCGAGGGCATTCGCACACCACCTCCACTTGAAAGACGTTCTGGGCCACGACCTGAAGGAGAACGAGACGGCGAGGCGTTTGGCTTCTCGCTTCGGGGTCACGAACTGGGATACCTTGCGGGAGGACCTGGGCAAGTTCATGCAAGACTGCGAGACCGTGACGTACCTGGACCTTTCCTGTATTCCAAATGGTTTGGACATGGGACGATGGACGGGAGTGGTCGGAGACATGCTGCACGGCTTCTCGGGATCCATCCACATCGGCAGAGGCGTGGTCTTTCGGGTCTCTGCCGGGGAGGCCTCATCGGCGAAGTTCGCCATGAAGACGGAGGAGACGGGCGCCATGAGGCAGACCTTCGACCTGGTCTTCTGCACCGGTGGCCCGAATGGGATGAGGCTAGGCGGAGACGCATGCATGCCCGTTGCCCAGCTCTTCCGGAGCCACGCGCATGATGTAGATAGCGGAGATTGGTACGTCAACGGCAGACGCATAAGGCAGCGCGTCCATGCGCACGTGAGGAGGCACACGGGAGGATTACGCGACATCGTCGTCTCCGTCGACGACAGGAGCAGAGAGCTGATCGTCATCTTCATGGTGCAGTTTCGAGAGGTCGAGGAGGGATACGAGATAGCATACGGGTTTCAAGATCCACGGGGTCCTAGGAGAGAGGTCGTCGATTGGCCTAGCAGGTCTTTCCTAGAACTCTGGCTAGACACTCTGAGCGCATGACTCTACGGCGTAGATGCCTATAGCTTTGGACAGTGTAGACGGTGCCAGATGTGCCGCTCTCGCCACGTCGACCTTGTTCCACCCGGCCTCACCGGTCTCTAACTCTGTCATGTGCACGGCCACTGCGGCTATCGTGCTGGGCGTGCGCCCGCCCAGTATCCCCGAATCGTCTATGACATCGGCCATGCGTCTCGCATTCGTGATCGCCTTCCTCCTATCCTTCATGGCCACTCGCGCGGGATCCCATGCGAAGAGCACCGTCATGATGCGCGGCACGATATCTCCGGCCTTGGCGACGCCCGTGTCGTCGCTCGCGTCCATAGTCCGTCCCGATGCCTTCTCGATGCCCTTCACCTCCCGATACACGGCGCCCTGCCTCAGCCCGAGTACCGATGCGACTTCTTTCGTGACCCTCGGATGATTCAGACTCCTGCTCAGGGTGACGATGAGGGCCGCCAGAAACGCCCGCTTGTTCCTCTCATACACCTTGGGCCTCCTGACGCCGAGGTAGTTCTCGACCTGCGCACGGTACTCGTCCACCGGCAGGCACAGTCGTTCGCATGCTGCGATCAGGAAGTCGACGTCTCGCCGGCGCAGTCTCGACTCGAGTATCGACACGGGAGCCGAAGCGACGACGCCGCCCGTGGTCTCCTCCTCTATGATGCTCGAGACCACCAAGCCGCAGGAGGTGCATACCGTTCCGGCGCCCCGCGCCTCCACCAACGTGCCGACGTGCGCGCACCGCTCGGCGTCCATCATCCCTCCTGAGAATGAAGGACAGACGTCTCGAAGACCAAATATGTTTGTGTAAGCGTATCAGGCTCCATGCCCCTCGCGAACACTTGGGTCGGTGTCGTGGCTCCCATCGGACAGTCTGCGGTGAACAGTTTGAGCGACCTCACGTGTCCGCCAGGTCACTACGTGAGCAAGGTCGTCGGAGGGAAGGAGGTAGGCGGGTACTCGTCGGTCACCAACATCAATTCGATCGAATGCACGAACTACATGGACCCATCCGTTCCGCGGGCGGTCGTCAGCAAGCTCATAGGTAAGCCGGGCGCGGCTCAATCCTTCGATTGCGGACCTGCGGGGCTGAGCGGCATGATGATCGTGTCCGCGGCGGTGGTGGACTCGATCCAGCCGATATGCGGCACGGACTTGGGGACCCGGGACGTCAACGCGTACGTGAAGGGATATCCTTGGAAAACCAGTCCGTCGATCGGCGGCCCCAACGCCCCGCAATTCGCGCAGTGGTGCGCCGCAGGTGGACGACCCGCCGGAGACAAGGCCTTCATCACATCCATCTCGGGAGGGCCGGCCAACAACGGCAATCACCCGAACGATCTGAGCCAGCTCTCCTTCAAGTGCAAGGATTTCGCCGACATCGACGCAGTCAAGAACGATCCCGAACGCACGGCGGACGTGTGCGTCGGGACGGACCCCCTGACGCCCGAACTCTCCCAGGCGATCGACTGCGACGCGTCCATGAGAAACTACTGCACCGGGTCTCGCGCCTGGTCCAACAAGTGCAACATATACGTGGGCCGGATGCCGTCCCTGGCGGCCGCTCAAGACAAGGCGAAGATGGACTACTGCTCGACCGGGCAGAATTTCAAGAGCCAGATCTGCCAGGACTTCTGCCTGGCCGGCGGCGTCGACATGTACGTCCCGGGAGGGCCGGGGCGACCCGCGTTCAAAGACCAGTGCAACGTCCTCTACGCCTCAAAGTGCAAGGGAGATACGTCGGACCTCTGCTCCTGCATCAACAAGCCGCGTCTGGAGGACTGGGGCACGGAAAGAACCTATCAGGCGGTGATGAGCGCCGTGAACGGCACCGCCGGAGCGAACAGGAACCCGCAGTGTCACTTCGAAGCCTGCAGAGATCGGGGCTACAAGGCCGTGAGCTTCTCGAAGGCGGGTTGCCCCAGCTGCCTCAACAGCATCACCGTCGCGGGTACGGACGGCGGAGTAGCGAGCTTGGGTAGCGCCATACAGTCGTGCCTGAGCGGGGACGCGTCGAGAGGTTCGGACGCCGCACCTGCCCCTTCCGCTGCCGATGCTACGCCGGGCCCGACGGCCTCGGTCGCGGCCTCGCCCCCCAAGGGTTGGCTGTACGCCGTGATCATCTTGATCGCCGTCATCCTCGTCGCAGCCCTCCTGGAGTGGCTCTTCACCGGAGACGCGCCGACCCCGCGCCCGGCGGCTTCTTCCATGACAGACGCATCCGCACGGGCATGACCTCGTCTCGGGTGACCGCGGGCCTCCCCGGGTGACGACTTTCTCCGATAACGGCAGATCATTCCACAGCTCAATAGCTCTCCGAGCGGCTGCGTTGATCGAGATCGTCAAGGTGCCGGACCGGATGTTCATTGTCGTGTATGAATGGTAGACTAAAGCATCGCGAGGCGCACCAAACGCGAATGGCAGACGCCGAACGAGCGCCGGTATTATATTCTCCGCTATCCGGTGAACATGGCAGAAGCCCCGCCGAAGGACGTCCCCAAGCCATCGAAAGCACCCGTCCGAGCGCCCGACTCCGAGCATAAGATAATAACAACACCTAAAACTCCCAGAACAGCCCAGCCGAACACGGATGCAAGCGTTCTGTCGCCGCCACCCATCGAACGCTCGAATAGCTGGTTCTATTATCTTACCGGCTCCTGGTTTTGAACGGCCTATTTTGAAAGCCTATTTTGCTCGTCACAGAGCCATCAATGCACGATGCCCCGTCCAAGTCTCAGTCCAAGTGGTCGGGCCATCCCTTGTGACTGAGTCCCACACGCCTCTCGCATCCGCGCGGCTGCTCTGGACGGTAGCATCTCGTCGGCTCCAGCGCACAACGGGGTGCATGCTATCGTAGAGTTGGAGTGGGGCAGAAGCCCCAGCATCGTCTGCAGAGCTCGAAAAGCGAAATCAGCCTCTTCGAGGTAAATGCGTCTTCTGATGGAGTCTGATGTTCTCTCTGTTACTGGATTCCGTAGTGATCATTGTTACAAGACGGTGAGACAGTAAGACGCATGTTTCGGGAAGTTTTTGAGATCCGTGTCTTGCTTCTTACAGGGTGGTATGGGTGGGTGCCACGTCGGCAAAATGAAGCGTCTTGTGGTGGAATCCAAGGTTTTTCCTCTTAATGAATTCGCTAGTGATTACTATTACAAGACAGTAAGACGCATTATTTGGAGACTTTCTGAGATCCGGAGACGGGATCTTGAGAAACTTCAGGATCCTGGGGTCGTCCCCAAAAATGCGTCTTTGTGTCTCGCGTCGTACGAGGGGGTATGGGTGGGTGCCACGTCAGCAAAATAAAGCGTCTTGTGGTGGAATCCAAGGTTTTTCCTCTTAATGGATTCGCTAGTGACTACTATTACAAGACAGTAAGAGAGTAAGACGCATTACTCGGAAAACTTTCTGAGATCCGGAGACGGGATCTTGGGAAACTTCAGGATCCTGGGGTCGTCCCCAAAAATGCGTCTTTGTGTCTTGCGTCTTAGGAGGGGGTATGGCTGGCTGCCACGTCAGCAAAATAAAGCGTCTTGTGGTGGAATCCAAGGTTTTTCCTCTTAATGCATTCGCTAGTGACCACTATTACAAGACAGTAAGACAGGAAGACGCATTATTTGGAAATTTTCTGAGATCCTGGGACAGAAAAACTGAGCTGAAGCGGCAGCTGGGGCTAGTAGGCGAAACCGACGACGGCGCAGAATCTAGCTTTTACAGCTCGAATGAGTAGGGCGTCCGAGGAAATTTGCGATCGATTAGTGAGATGGACGCTTATAGGATGCAGTTTGACGGCTCGGCTCGGGCCCGGGAATCCCTGCCGCGGGGGTGCAACCGCAGTGATCTACGCACCGGACGGCACGACTCTAGAAAGATACAAGGATCTAGGAGACTCGATCACCAACGTCGCCGAACATGAGGGGCTCATTCTGGGCCTCACAAAGGGCCAACATTTGGGTGCCAAGGTCGTGAACGTACACGGTGAGTCAATGCTAGTGGTGAAGCAGGCGCGGACTCTGGAAAGTCAAGGCCATGCATCTACAGTCTTTTTTGCGACAGAGCAAGCCAACTCATACAGAGTTTCGACAAGTGCACGGTAGATCATGTCATGCGAGCGGACAATGCGGTAGCAGATGCTCTGGCGAATCCGGCTGTGGAAGAGCGCACTGGCTCTTCCTCATAATCACCAGTGCTTCTTGCATATTAGCTTCCAGAAATCGCTCCCATGAACATTCGAAAGTGCCCTCGCCCTGACCTGACTTGATTCGTGCCGAGGGGGATACATGGCATGCTTGTTGACGGAATGCTGTACGTCCTACAATCGTTGAAAAAGAACGAACAGTGTCTCCTAAAACCCTAAAATCCTGAAACACACACGCACACACACACACACCGGTCGCGTCTAAATTGACACTGTAATAGCAGTTAGTTTGGATTTAGTTGAACTTTGCAAGTAGCGTCAACATTCTCACTACCCAGGTAGTCCCAGCGAACCACAGTACCACTACAGCAAGCTGGGCGCACAAACAAGTCGTCGGAACCTAGTCCTAGCCAGCACTCTTGAAAAGATCACTCCTTGTGGTAGACGTCAAGCAACTTCGACATCTCCAGTTCCTCTGCCGTCATAAGGCCCGGTTGCACATAGCAGATGTGATACACTGGCTTCCAAAACTCTCGCTCGCCAAACTCCAGCACGCGCCGCCAGGTGCGATCTCTTCCCCTTAGCATTGCAGCGAGCTCTTCCGTCTCTACACACGGGTCCAGGACCAGGAGCAAAGTCTCAGAGGATCCCCCTCGTCGCCCATGCACTCTACGCACGCCGACGATAGTCTGGGAGTGTCCCTGCTGCTGGAAATACAGCGGGGGCTTGTCGACCATGTGCACCTCGCACTCTTTTGGAACCTCAGCATCTTTGTCCAGTCCTAGTCCCTCTGTGAAATAGCGCCAAGCCCACCCAAAGAGCTTGTTGTGCCGGATGCCGTGCTTAACCTCCGACTCGAATTGCACCTGGCCACCCTTGGACGTGCTTGTGCTATTGCAGTCAGGCGCCTCCACGCTCACACAGTGGTTCAGACAATTCATGGGGTGCTTGTTGGACTTGGTGCCCAGCGGGGTCTCGTGGTCCCTGCACTCGTTGCAATTCTCCTTCTCTCCACGACGGAAATAGTGCTCCCCAATTGTGCACCTGTTACACCTTGCATAGCGCATCCGCTTGAATTCATCTGTGTACCCAGACCCTGTCACCACAGTCGTTTTCAAAGCGTCTGCATCTCCGTTGGCGAGTATGGCCCGCTCCTTGGTTGCTGGCAACGCGTCAAACTGCACTATGCTGGCGCGGATCCCCAACGAGCGGAGTACCACGGCACACTCAGTGGTCCCAATCCACTTGGACGCATTCACAACCTTCCAGTCTAGTTGCCCAGCACCCTCTCTGTCAAATCCATGCTTCCAAGCAGATTCCAACCATTGTTGCAGGCTGTGGATGTCTGGCACAACCGCCTCCCCTGGGAACACTTTCCGCACCTCCTCATTGGCTAGGAGATTCGACAGGAGCATCTGAATATTTCGCCAGCCACAACCCCAACCCTTGTCTATGCCCTTCAGGCAGCCAAAATGGTCCACATGTCGCGCAATTATTGCTCGGCTGAGCCCCCTTTCCTCTGCCAGGCGCGCCTGTAGCAGCTCCATCAATCCTTCGGAAACTTGGAAGTAGCTGCACTCCGGCTGCATCATGCGGTGCAGCTCGTGGCAATCGGCTTCCGTGTCTTCAGCTCCAACCTCCGGTGTCTCCGACCAATCAAGCGCCAGGCTCAAGCGACGTAAAAGGGCTTTCCAGTACTTCGTAAAATTTGTGAGAGCTGGTGGTTTTGGTTGGAAGTCACTTGGTAAAGTAGTTAATTATATCCCCTACCATTTCGTGCAGCAGTTTCGCAAGAAAAAGATTTGCATGCAAAAAGACATTGCATGCAAAAGGTTTGCATGCAAACATAAAGAGTGGCTATCTTTTTTTGGCTTCCTTGCTAGGTTAGATTATTGGGTTAGTCAGCATAATCATCAGCTTTACCATTAAAGATGAGGTGTGAATTCATGGTGGGCTACACATTCTGCTTCTTTATGGGGTGTTTTACAAACCTTTGAAGAAGACCGGCCGGCGCGAGGTCATTGATGCTGATTTGTCAAGTATCATTTTCAGGCCGTCCGATCTCAATCGACCGTGCACGTTTAATTGGTATGACGAACTTCAGAAAACGATCCAAATGTCTCATTTCCGTTGGGCCGGGGTCCCGTGCCCTGGCGCAGTTGGCCATAACGCAAGACAGAGAGACGCGCGCAAGGCGCTTCTGCTGCTGCACCTCGCGCTGGACCCTGGTGGACCTTGACGAGCATTTCTCGGTGGTCCGGCCACCAATTCTGGAGGTTTCAAGTGCTGTGAACAGCCCTTTGCAAGGCCTGTACAGGCATAACCCTTTTGAAGCCTACTCTTTCCAGATCCTAGGGGGCCAGTCAGCCCCATATTTGGAGGATCGCACCTATTGGGTTGTGTTCGTGTCTCTTGGAGCTGATTTGGTCCTCTCTGCTGTTTTTTCTCTGTCTTTCACTTGCTCTTAGCGTTTCTCATTGCTTACAAGAACTTTCCAGCTCATAGCTCGCACGTACACTGTAGCAATGCATTGTGTCTACAATTCAATTGTGACCTCACTGCCTCTTTTCTGAGCTCATTTTTCTCATCATAGCCTCTCTTTCTATACAGCCAGCTCAAGCAAGCCCATCTACTTCAGGCCCTTCGACCTTAGGAGCGGCACGCATTGCTGCCGGGGTGGGTCCTATTGATTGGCGCCAGTGTCATCAATGTCAAGGCCGTTTCAAGGGGCTGCGCGGCCTAACACAGCACAAGCGGTCGTGCGACAAGCGGGAGGTACAGCGGCAGGAGCAGGCTGCTCTTGGAGCTAGCTCCGCTCGCCGTGGCGTGAGAGTTCCACCTAATGCCACGCATTGGACCTGGATTTGGAGCACCGATCTTGAGCCTGAGTTGCTGCCGTGTCCTGGTGCTCATTTCATGCCGCGGATACCCCATGCTTTCAGAGGAGATGTGGCTCGTGCTTTCACGCTTCCGCTTCAGGGCATTCACACCGATCCAACTCCTCTCCTGATGTTCTCTCTGTTAGTGCTTGACAGGCTGCGTCGTGGAGGTGATGCAGGCCATCGTGACCTGCGCGAGCGATGCAGACGCTTCATTAGGCGCTACTATCAGTGTTTCATGCAGCGTCCGAGGCAGCCGCCGCGCAGGCAGAGCAGGCACTAGACGGTGTACCGTCAGAGGAGGATGATGAGGCCCGTCGCCTGAGGAGCTGTTTGGCCGTGTGCTGTGTGCGTGAGCTGAGTAGAGCAGCTCGTGCTCTTGATCCATCTCGTATGGCTAATGACTCGGATGCCACGCTGCAGGTGCTTAGAGATTTGCATCCTGATGCCCCCTCTATGCTCCCAGACTGGCTTCCTGGTTTCCAGCCTGATGATGCTTTCCAGTTGGATCCTGAGGCACTGCGCCAGGCTTTGGAGAGTGCTTCACAACGTTCGGCAGGAGGGCTTTCAGAGATTATCTATGAGCTGTATCGTGATATCCTGCTTGAGCACCCCGCCACTCTTCTTCCATTCTTCGCGAAGCAGAGCCTGTCTCCGACAGTCCTGCTGGCGCGTGGCCTATCGCGATTACAGAGGTCTTTTCAGCGGCTTGTCTCTCGGGCCATTGCTTTGCACATGCTGAACGCTTTCCAGTAGTTCTTCTCCCTGCTGCACTGCAGTTTGCAGTTCCGTCCCCTTGGTGGCTGCGAGTCCATTGTCGCAGGGATCGGGGCTCTTTTGCGTGTGGACCCGGAGCTGCTGGTCATGCAGGTCGATCTGGCGATTAACGCCGTCGACCGCACGGCCATTTTCGAGGAGCTCAGGGCCCACTTCCCCGCATTGACTCGTTTCAATCGTCTCGTTTATGCTGGTCCCAGTCGTCTGATGTATAGGCGAGTAGATCAGAGCTGGGTCACACTTCTCTCACAGACAGGGATGCGTTAGGGGGACCCTCTTGGCATGTTTTACTTCTGTCTTGCCTATCAGCTAGCGCTATCTTCCACCCACGCTACTTTCCTTGATGTGCACTTGCTCTCTTATGTAGATGACACACCCGTTGTCGCTCGCTCCGATCAAGCTCTTGCAGCCTCCCACCACCTTGTCGTCCAGGTTGGGCAGCTTAACCTTCGGGTTAAGCTCCTTAAGTGTCAACTCCTTAACACCGGGTACCCTGCCACCTTTTATAAACAGCCGTTGCGTCAGCCGAGGGACACAGCTATCGTAAATTTGAAGCCGCGGCACAAGTGCCTGTACTAGAGGGTAATATTACAAGAACACCCGCAGAGTCCAGTGGCTCGAAGCACATCATGACCGTAACAACACACCGAGCCTTTGCGATTCTGATTATCTTTAACGAAACAGGTGAGAAAGTAAGGAGAGCCAGTGTGATTTCCTCTACAAACAAGGACTCGGACTACAGCCGACTTCAATCGGCGATGGCAAGCTGTCAGTTTGGTCTTTTAAAGCAACTTGATCAACATACAATGCTTGTGACCCATAAACTGTTGGTATAAGTTTTTACATTAGCTTTCAATTTACGAGCCTTGGGCAACTCGCCAACCGTAGTGATGTACAATATGATAGATTATCGTCAGTCTAGTTACACAGACAGTAGCTAGGTACAGTCAGCAGACTTCGTACCGTACGATATTGATAAGATTGACTTCGACCGTCTATAAGAGAAGTTGAGGGAAACCACGTAGATGAATATCTATGTTGTGAACTTGAGAATATCATTCATACTGAATCGTTCTCTCCAACCAAGTCGCCTTCCTTCTCTCAGAATCGCATCATGCTTTCCATGCTCATGAATCTACAATAGAGGCTCCTACGCCCGCTGTATTCTAACTCTTGCCAAAGGATAAACTCAGCAGGCAAGATTTGTACTATCTTCTAAAGCGTCACCGCAAATATGCAACTGAGAGTTTTAAAAGCTCCCAAAAAGGAATGCTCCCATCAAAGGCCTCGGACTTTTGACACGAATTTGTCAAAATGAAAGTGAGTTTTGTCACTTTTCTGACGGCTGTGAACCGAGCAGATGTTTGAATATAATCAAAAAGGTGTGATTCACGAGGTTATTAGCCCACGTTTGGCAACACTGTTACTATTATCGTATCAACACTTGGCATTCCAGTAAAACTTCACCAATGTCGATTCATCTACAATTCTCAACCTCTCGAGCTTTCTGCATTCTAACGTTATCCGTTGGGCTTCCTCTTCCAAGGACCTAGGATATGCTCTTGCACGCTCGTCCAAGGGTAAAAGTCTTATATCCAACTCTCTGAGATGTCTGCAGCACTTCATGAGCGCATGACAGAATGGAGCAGCATAGGATCTACTTAGCTGGACTGTAACTACCTGCAGCAGGGGAGATGTCTTGACAATGCCAAACAGAAGCCGCCAGTCATGCGGCGCTTCTGAGACCAATGTTACAAGCTCAGGAAAGGCTTCCAAATGCAGGTGCGTACCCTCAGCTAGGACGAGCATTTTCACTTTTGAAGCAGAAGCAGTCATGTGCAGCTCTCCTGCCAGCACAAGGATCTTGACGTTACTTGCTTTTTCAAGTACATCTGTAAGACTAACATACCACGGCATTGCCCAAGCTGCTATACATAGTCTTCTCAACTCCGTGGGATGGCCAAGGGCTCCAATGACATCATATGGAAGATCTATATCTGCTGGTACGTCACCAGTCCCTTCAAGTTGGTAACCTAGGATATGCCTTGAAGAATTGTTGATGCTTACACGTTCCAATACTCTCACTTCTGCCCACTTAAAAGATCTCAGGAGTGCTGTCATGCAGTCAATATCACCACAACCTGAAGGCAAAGACAGAACAGGGCTGTTGATCCAGAGCTGCAGCAGATTGGGGTGTGCTTTTGCAAATTTCAACAGTTGCAAGTCCAGGCGAAGGGGCCCGTTGCCTTCCAAGGCGTCAAGTTTTAGCCTTGTCAACACCCGTTGACATTCAGCTCGCCAAGTCGTACTGACCGCCTTGAGCCGTCGCAATTGTTCGTCACCACCATCCCTCAAGTAGCGCAGTATGAGTCGCACCACCTCGGGTGCTGGGGGCAGAACTTGTCTCCAAGGCGCTTCCCCCATTGGCCGATACTCACTGTCCACTAGAAGATTAAGAATGATCTCATTACATGCCAACAAAACATGGCAGCTTAGACTCGGGGTTATCTTTCTGTGCTTGTCGTTGCACAGGAAGAAAGAAGTTGTCGCGGACAGGGAGTACTAAGAAATTGTCGTTCAGATTGTCCGTGGAAGACCCATGTTCGCGTGTCCGAGTCGAGGACTACCGTACCGACTATCCGACTGACAAATGATGTAATCTCGTCCTGCTTCCGATCTGTCAGAAAAGTTATCCGCTGTTCACTCCCTAATTTGATGCGTCGGAGAGGTGATTCAATAGAGCTGGGAATCACATTTCGACAGCCCCCGCTAACGCAAGCGACTACACTGAAATATCTCGATCCATTTGAACGGTGTATGGCGTGTCAGAATTGAAAGTGCCTTTAAAGAGGACCACGTGTTTGTCTAAGAACTTTAGGAAAGATCGAACGGTTTCCAAGAATACTGGGAACCACTGATCACGATAGAAACAGCCTGACAGTGTCATTTTCACCCTCGAGCGTCAGCCAGCCAGAGATTCAACGTAGCTGTGGCGTCTTGCTTGTACGGAGCTTCAAGGTATAGAGTAATTTTGGGGCAAGCGTTTCTCAAACAATTTGTGATGCGGCGAGTGAAATGCAAGGCAAGGTCGTTACAACAGATCTTGCAAACCAGGAAAAAGTCCATTTGTCCTCACGTGCTACCTTAATTACGACGACATCAGGCAATAGGTATGCGGAGATCTGGGGTATGCGCCATACCCCCCGTCCCCCCCAACCCCCCCCCTAGCACGCCAAGATCAATAGTAGACAACAGTCTTGTTGGACTCCATAGTTTGACTGTTCCGACCTAGGGGAAGGACGATAGCAAGGGTGCACTTTTCGTACGGCATTAGGCATGAGGACAGGTCATCCAAGCCGTCTATTCGAAGTCTCGCGCAACCGGTTTCATCGTCGATGACACTGTCGGACCTCATCTTCGGCGACACCGCCAAGCCCGGTGTCAGAGGTAGGTTGTTGGGTGGCCAGCAGATTCATCATCTTCTGCTTCTTTTCAAAACCTCGCTAAGAGGCACACAATATAGAGACAACTCAGAAATGGCATGTAAAAGTGAGAAGGGTAATCCTTTCCAATCGATCTATGAGCTTACTATGCTCACCATGCTTACTATGCTTCGCAGATTAATGTTCAAATAGTCCGATGCTTGTCACCACATTGTGGCCGAGTCACATGGAATGAGAGTTGACACGTTCATTCTGAATTTACAAATTGATCCTGAGCTGTGAAAATCTCGATCTTAATTAGAAAGTGCCTTGCAATCCCACTGAAGGGCTCGGTGGTAAATATCTATTAGCTGCAATCCTTCAGCATCATGTGATCTGTAGAGTTGAGTTGGATGGAGATACTTTAAGCGTCCGACTGACAACTTGAGAGACTGCGGCGGACTGAACCACGTAGTGCTGACATGGTGCTGACATGGTACAGTGATATGTGCGTCAGGGGTCGGAACTTGGAAGCGTTCTTTTATCGCCGCATCGATTTGCCCCTTGCTCAGAATGGGAGAAAGCTAAAGTAAAACGAACCGATTTGAGATCTGTTGCGAAGTTACTTTTTCTGACACATCAAGAATCGCTTTCGACAATAGGTCGCAAGTACCGTACGGTATATTCTTGACCGTACAGAAGCCCTGTTTTGCGGGCGAGAATCCACCACCGTTCATACCCACAGTCGTACCATCCGAGGTTCTCGTGAACCAATATTCCAAAATCACTACCGTTATGGAGTGAGTTCCGTACGGGGAGTTGAAGCAAGTCGAGCATGCACGTCAGCATGCAAGAGAGATGCATGAGACGTTCCCATCGACTTATTCTGGTTTGCATATCGTTTCCGCACCGAATGCTTCTGGTTTGCTGATTTTTAAATCGGCTGATCTGCTTCGGACGGGACACCTAACGAACATCGGATCCCGATCCTGGCAGAGATGGCAGCGGACGTTAGTCAAGGCGCACAAACAGACCCATCATGGAAACTGCACAGATGGGACATGTGCCAGGTGGCCGCATTGAGAGGGGACCTGGAGCTCCTGAAACGAGCTACTGAAGATGGGCGTCCCTGGGATGAGAGGACCTGCTCGGCAGCAGCAAGAGAAGGGCACCTGGATGTTCTGCGTTGGGCTAGGGCACATGGTTGCCCTTGGAACCACTGGACCTGCGAAGCGGCAGCACGGAATGGACACTTGGAGGTCCTGCGGTGGGCCAGAGCAAATGGTTGTCCATGGAGCGTTGCAACTTGTATGGCAGCAGCTCAAGGAGGGCATCTGGAAATTTTGCAGTGGGCCAGGGAGAATGGCTGTCCATGGACAAGCTCAACCTGTGAAGCTGCTGCACATGGTGGTCATTTGCAAGTCTTACAATGGGCGAGGGCTCATGGATGCCCTTGGAACGAGCGTACGTGCGAAGCTGCCGCAGAGAAGGGAAACTTGGAGATTCTGCAGTGGGCAAGGGCCAATGGTTGCCCATGGGATCCAACGACCTGCTCGGCTGCAGCAAAGCACGGATATGTGAAATGCATTGAGTGGGCCAGGGCAAACGGGTGCCCTTGGGCTCCTCTAGAGCTCCTGCAGTGGGCGAGGGCACATGATTGTGACTGGTGTGGGACCTGTGCAGCCGCTGCAAAAGCGGGAGATTTGCACATTCTGCAGTGGGCCAGAGCAAACGACTGTCCATGGATTGCCCAAGAGTGCATTGGGAGCCCCCACCCCCACATCGTGCTCTGGGTCCTAAACAATTCGAATCTCAACGAGATTAGCAGCGACCAACTAAAAAGGGCTGCCTTCATCGCCGCCCGGGAAGACGATGTCGGCAGCTTCCAGAAGCTGCGTGCGTTCTGGGCCTCTCTCTCCCCACTCTACGCTGGCCCCCGGTGTGCGAGGCTGGCGCGGTCGGAGGGAATCCAGCTGCGACCTGATTCAGAAGAGCAATTGCGACGTGTTCTGGCTCGGCAGGTGGCCGCCGGCGTTGTTTTGAAACGTTTTCCCAAAGAAGTTCGGCTGCTAGTCTTCAGGATGGCCGATTTCCTCTGGGTGCCCACGGGGGCAAGTTAGTATGTCAAATACAGACTCGAGGCAAACGCGTTTGTCAAAATCAACCGTGCTAAATTATTAAAGGCAAAGACGGCAGGAAGTATTATCGAGGGGGAAATGTGTGAACGTTTCCCAAATCGCCCCATGCTGCTTTGTGACATAGATAGTGCTCGTAGACAGAGGTTTCAACATACGCATCAACGTGGTTCGCGGCGTTGGAGGAGATTTGTTGGACAGAACCCAGATGAAAGCGAATATTGGAAGATATCAAAGGTTGTTACCAGAAAACTGTGACGACCGTGACCTTGTTTCGAGATAATTGAAGAACTCACGCGCTTTCCTGGACGCAAACACCACGTCCTCGACTTCCACGTTCCCTTTTTACGCCTACGTACAAGCGTACCGCACCCGTTAACGCACTTTGTGCTAATTACGTCCACCATGTCATCCGACTTGCATTTGCTGCAGTTGGTAGCCCTGCCGCCTTCGACTCCGAAAGAAGGCCGCCCTCTCCCGCATGAGCACTTCGGGTGTGTCATGTCTAGCGTGTCGTCGGACTTGCATTTGCTGCAGTGGGTAGCCTTGCCGCCTTCGACTCCGAACGAAGGCCGCCCTCTCCCGCAGGCGCACTTCGGGTTCTTCACTACGTTCACCATGTCATGGGACTTGCATTTGCTGCAGTGGGTAGCCCTGCCGCCTTCGATTCCGAACGAAGGCCGCCCTCTCCCGCAGGCGCATATCGGGCTCACTACGTCCACCATGTCGTGGAACTTGCATGTACTGCAGTGGGTCGCCTTGCGGCCTTCGAGGCCGAACGAAGGCTGCCCTCTCCCGCAGGCGCACTTCGGGTTGAGTACGTCCACCATGTCGTCGGACTTGCATTTGCTGCAGTGAGTGGCCCTGCCGCTTTCGAGAGCGAAAGTAGGCCGCCCTCTCAGTCGCTCTGAGTCGGTGGAATCGTTTCTGAAGACGGGGGTTTTGCCTAGCGACACATTCCAGTCGAGCGAGGTGGGAACTCCTGAGGTACCGAATGTGGAGCTGAGCGAGACGCGGGATGGAGTTCGGCGCGCAGGAAAGTCAGCATGGTTGGGGTTGTAGTTATTTTTTGATTTGTATCGACAACGATCAGATAAAGTAAGACCGTTGTGTTGATATATCGTTTACTGACAATCACAATGCTTTGGAAAGTAGGTAGTTAGTTTGCAGAGCATTCGAAACAGTGATTGGCACGCGAAGTTTAGAGATTCTCGTGCAGAACCACAAACTGCTGATGCATCTTCCGTCTCTCGACCCGGAGCTCGGCTGCTGCTGTCTTGGCTTCGTCTGTCAATTTGGTGATGGAATGCTGCAGGTCTCTCAAAGGGACGTCGAAAAATGCAGGGATATCTGTAAGATAAAAAAGACGTAACATGAATGCTCGGTGCCTCTCCCAGATACCAAGATTCCTACGATGGCAAGCATATTGATTTGCTTCTGCTGCGGTCAAAGTCCCAACATGCTTGCATCCGTGACTTACCGCCTTGCATGAGTATGCTCGAGTGCATGCCTGCCGACGTCCCGCCGGGAACTCCCATCATGTGCTGCTGCGCTCCAGGCGGAAATACATACCTGTTTTGAACTGGCGTATGATAGTACTGCGCACCGCAACTCATATCACGAGGAGCCCAGGCGGTATAATCCATATTATGGCGTCCGCATTCTTGTCGCCAGCCGCGGCCAAATTGCGACCATGTGCGCCACAAAGAGCCGGTTCGCTCGCCGCCCTTTGCTGTATCGTGAGTCTCCCGAAGTGGCTCACTTGTTTCTGCTCGGATTCCCCCAATAGCAGCCGGTTATCCCATAGATGGCTGTCCTAAGCTATGGGAGTATGCATGCACCTGCACGCAGCACGTGCAGACTAAACCTTCGCTCATGCATGCAGCTCCGTGCATGCAGACGAGGCTTGAAACTTCATATGAAACTGAATGCATGCAGTTGCCGGGTAGATGGGTGAAAGATTCCGACATCATTCGCGCAGTCGGGTTGCACCGTTCACGGCCAGCTACCCGGACACGATCCTCACCCCCCTGCGTTTTTTTCCTCTGACATATGTATATCCCATTCTGCCCGACACTTCAAGGAACATGATACCCCCTAGGGTGCGCCCGGGCCCCCGGCCGGCAGGC